TGAAGCCTCTACTTAACCGAGTACTAATAAAATAAGGGCAAACGATTGTGGTTTTAATGCCACGTTTTCCTGCATGATACAGTTCTGAATTGATGGCTTCCATCATTCCAATGATTGCACTCTTACTTGCAGAATAATCTGAGAAGTGATGAAAGAAGAAATATCCAAAATGTCAAAAGCGCCAGAGTAAAAGCTATATACAGAGTGGTATTCTGTTTACTACTATTTAAACCACAGTACTAGCTAGTTCTATCATTAGCAGCCTTGTAATTAGTATTTTAAAAACATTGGTGATGCTGACTCTGGAGATGAACGGCTCTTCCCATGAATGATGCACAGTTGCCTAAGGATAAGATTAATCCTTTTCAGAGGAATTTTTTTCAATGCAGTACAGAGAGATGTAGGAAGATGAGTTTGTTCAGCATTTTCTGTACATTTCCAGATACTCTGATACAAACCAGGCATTCTTCCAGTTCACAATGCCTTCGATTTTAATTTCACAGGCTAAATTTCAGAAAGAACTATTTCTAGTGGTAAAATGTAGATACTCTATAAATGCTCCTTCAGCCTATTACTTCTGATTTTCCCTACCACTAAATACCATTTTGATTTCCCAGGAAGACTGAATCTTGTCTGACTTTTATTGTTGGATGAATGTATGGAACTCCATCCTTGGAGACAATCTGCCCTCACAGAGCCCTGTGCAGCAACCTGATCTAAGCTGGGCCTGTTTTTATTTGGTGATATGGACCAAGTGATGTTCAGAGATTGCTTCCAACACAACTCACTCGATGATGTTCCAGTTGCAAGAAACTATTTTAATATAGTGCTTCAGGTGTGGTTTCCTAGGCTTTTTCAAATGTATGTGATAATATTTATTAGATGCAATGAAATCCAATTATGCTAAAAGATTGATGTCAAAGACTGGCATCACAGGTAGTTTGCTATTCCTCAGGAATTTACGCATAGTGAATGATGGAACCACACAGCCTAAAAATACATATCTAAGGTGTAAAAGGTTATAATGGATGGATGGGCAGCTCCTCTCCCATCAGCCTTACCGTTAGATGATAACAGCTGAGTGTGACCTGTATTTTCAATACCAAATATGATCACTCGATAACAGGTGGCAAGTAAACACAACAGTACTGCTAGCATCAATCAGCCAAAGACATAAGAGACACTTATTACAATGAAGGTCAAATTCCCTTAGGGTGACCTCAGAGATACAATCAGCATGTAAGAGAGGCTTGAGGAGAGACTGGGCAGCAGACACAGACTGATGACACAGGCAGGACTGGAGCACACTGCTCTCATGAGGGAAACAGCTGAGAATACTGAGCTGTGAAATTGCTTAAACCACATTTAATTCAAACTAATTTTACTGAAAACTATGCCCAAATTCTTTCTGCTTCTGACAAACATTTTCCAACTAAGTGTATAGTTCCAGGTATAAYCTATGTGTGGGTCTCAGATCTCTGAAGATTCATCTGCAGAAATCCTGACATGAGAAAGCGTTAGACAGCCTGTATGCAGGGCTTTCTCCCAGTGCACATGTACRMGCTGTGTTGTCCTTCTCATGTGGAGAAAGGCAGTCTGTAATCAGACAGTAAAATCTGCAGAGAGCTTCCTGTGCCATTCAGGCAAAGTGACACCATCACACTTCAGTACAGCATCATCTTTGGCATCCACAGGTTCTTATCAGTACAGGTTGCTTAAGCCAAGCATTTCTGAGGTCTCTGAGAAAAGTGATTAGTACATTGATCTAATTTGTAGTGGCAGCTGACAATACTAACCTGACATCCTGCAGGATCCAATTAATCCACCTCCACTGGCTGTGCTAACCAGGTGTCCACGGTTACAGGCCACCATGGCTGGAAGAAAGGCCTTGCAAGTCTAAAAGAATAGAAATATATTTATTTAAAAATCTCCTTTACAAATAGGCATGACAAAAATGTTGCATTCCAATATTAGGCTATACAGCCTGGTTTGCTTTCTGGGCCTTCAATATGCAAGAAGCCAAACCTTTCATCTCTGTAATCATGTTTAAATGAGAAACGAAATCTCCTTGAATGACTGCTCTCTATTTGAACATCTCACAGCATTATAATCATCTGAATRAAAGCAGCAAGGTTTGTATTTTCTCTGTTTCCTGGTTCCTCAGAATTTGTCCTTTTGAGACTATTGTCAAACGTTTGGTACACAAGAGGGAGCCAGAAGTCAACACATTGAGGGGAATTCAGCTGTTTGTGGGCCCTTTTGTTACAAACTGAACTGAYTGACAATTCCAGTACTMAAGAACACTGCTGTGGGTGACACTATTTAGAAATATGCTAGTGTTTTATGAAGGGGGAGAAAATAAAAAGAGACAGGAGCAGTTACAATTTTTTTTCAATAGCTGATAAATTCTATTCGCCTCCAGATGTGAGTGCCTTGTATATCACTGTCCTCCTGCCCTGCGTTTCTTCAGACCTGTCAGGACGAACACCTCTTCCAGTCTGTTTTCCTCAAGTATTTGGAAGAATAATGCAGTGTGTCTGGGGAATGCTTAGAAGACTTCTGTTTGCAATGATTTCCCATTGAGAATTGCCTTTTAACAAAGGAGTTGCCACCATTGTGATTTTCACACCAAAGTACTYGTCTGTACCTTTTGGTCACTCAGTAGTCAAAAACCACAAAAATTTTACCCAGACTTGAGAGAAGAAGTTGATTCTGAAGGTCTTTTCAAAATCTTCGTCTGTAAGGTCACAGAACTTTTTCCCAGTCAGTATGCCAGCATTATTGATTAGAATAGTAACATCTCCAACTTCTTTTCTAACCTGCATTAAAAAAAGAGTGAACAGAAAGCTTTAGAAGGTATTCTTGCCTCTGGTGCTTCATTTATGAAAATGTTTAGTAACATTTGCAGTAATTGGTATATATGAAAAAAATAAGTATGTAAGAACTGTGGTATTCCATCAGATCAAAGGTCCATCTAAGCTCCCTAGCCCTTGTCTCATGGTAGAAAGCAATGAAAAAGGGACCCAGGCTCTAATCTGTAAAGGTATTTAACTTTTAATATGCTGCAACTTGGGATCTTTTGAAAGGTGTAAAGTACTAGATCATGTTTAATATATCCCAGTGATCCTCCACCATGTTCCCCTCCGTGAATTTGTCTATTTGCTCCCTGAACTCCAGAATATTTTTGGCTTCCACAAAAACCTAAGGTAATAAATTCCGAAGATTTAGTGGGCACCATGACCAAATTTTAACTGCAATCAGAATATTTCTAGTTCCCTATTTTTGGGAATTCATCTGCCAAGCCTGCTCAACTCCTTTTCCATATAATTTTTACTGAGCTGGAAAGAGTGCAGCACAGATAACTAGGGGATACCAATCCTCTGAGTACAAAAGCATCTACCATGACATGGAGAACTAAAATCACCATTAGCTCCATTTGGGTTTGTTACCAAAAGATTTTGTGCCTTGATTTGTTCTTAAGTCAAAGCAGAACACCAATATTTACTCATATTATGAAGAATCTGCCTCACTACAGAGAGTTCTGTGCTAAAGGTGGATGGTTATCTGGGGGTCTCAAAAATTGCAGTATGAGCACCGAAACATAAAAATCTCATATGTGCTGCTGTTWGGCAATTTGGAAACAGGTGTTTGGATCTGATGCCCYAACATTTGACATTCCCTTGGTTCTCTCAGGGAACAGTAGAGTTCAGAGAAGACTTGTTTGATATTTTTTGTCACAGACAAGTAGGGCTCAGATATTTGCACCTTTCCACCTGCACAAATGAATGCAAATCCAGACACTGCTGAGTATGGCAGGAATACTCAATTCTTTCTTTGTGGAATACATTTATACTCTCTCTACTCTTTTAATTGCTCTGTCAGTCAATATGATGGTCTTCTTTTCCTTCACATGACAGCATAGTTTTGACAATGGCAGCTTTTTATTGAGCATGGCATCGTTTGTCCTGTTTACTCACTTCTACAAAAYATGTGGTAAGATTGGCCTCCATTTAGAAAAAAATCAAATTGATAATAAAACTGAAACTGTACATTATGTACTTTTTAAGTGTCCATTAATTCTTCTCTTCATGTAATTTCTAATAGTTTTCCATAAGACAGGTTTGTAGTTTGTGTCCTCTCAAATGCCCTTTAAGRCTGCCACATTTCCTATGCTTTGCTCCTTGATCATCTATTATAATAAAATATATATCCAACATTTCTAACCCATCAGATCCATGTTTAATTTCCTTCAGAATTCTCAAAGTGACACTGCCTGTTCCTGAAAATGAGCTGCTGTTCACTTGACCAGTTTGTTCTAAAGCCTCTTCTTTGGGGGCTTCAATGGTCTCTTTCATTCCTAGAAAGAAAACCTACATTATGGGAAAATACCTAGGGTTTTCTGCAGTGAGTATTTCAAATAAAAAGAAATAATTTAGTATTCTTGCTGTAGCTTTCTCTTCTGGGTCAAAGATCAAGGCTTTTCCTATTACCAATCAAAAATTTGCAGATATTTCCAAGAGTAGTGGAGGCCCATAGTTGAAAAACTTGATCTAAGAAAATTTCTGTCTCCACCAKGGCTGAYAAATMCATAGAAATATCTTTAAATATGGTGGTATTGTTAACAATAATTTGACACCTCAACAGCAATTTTTAAATTTTCAACTGCTCTTTAAGTTTCTATGAGCACGTYAGTCTGGGCACTTCAGCAGAGTGTTTGCTGATGTGGGCATGGCAAATTCTGCAGACTGGAGGCTGGTGMCTGATTTGGTCCATGTGTTTGGAGGCAAAAATTACAAAACAAAGCTTTTGAGACTCTGCTAAAATAAGAGCAAAGAAATAATTTCAGAATGTTCCATATAGACAATGAAATCCAACAAAGAAATTAACTACATAAGCTTAAATTATTGTGATTTTGGTGCATGCCTTTGCAAGAAGCAGAAAGTATTTATGGGAATAAGGATTTAATACCAATTAAAAACATTATTTAAAAAAAAATGATCTTGCTAAACTGTAAGATAAGTGTTTTATTTTTTGTATTTGCAAAAAGAAATTTCAAGACGAAATGCTGTTTGATTTATAGCATCATTCCAAATAAAGATCAAATGTCACAAATTACGTACTGCCCACWAGTTGCTCAGACAGAAATTTCAYCTCASTATAAAGTGATGATGGATATTAAGATTGCTGAAATTACTGCTKCTGAATTTTTCGCAGTCATTATCAATGTCTCGCACAGGTGAGAGAATTGCATCATCTGTACTGACCAAGTTCCTGGCAMACACAATTCCCTCGAACACTGTGTATTGTGTCAGCACAGGACTCAACACCCTGCCCATCTCTGCAGACATAATATTGTGGTACCATAAATATATCCTCATTATCCACAGCCCAAGGAATACCAGGATGTCGCCTGTGGTGCTCAACACCTTGCACCAATGGCCCTGAGTGGAATATTTTTCTGTGCAGTGTTAGGGAGCTGTGCCCCATGTGCTACTTATGAGTATGGGTAAAATAATTCCTTGCTGATTGTGAGTGTGGGAATTGCAGTTCCAGATACAGATCCTGAATCCAACTTACTTACCCATTAGAAATACTTTTCCTCAGGAAATTTGTTTCTTGAGGAAAAGAAGGGCTTTAGACTGTCATAACCTTGGTCAGAAAGGCTTAATCTGACTTGGTTAAAATTAAAAGCAAAAACCACAAATTGAAGAGCTGATCCCTGCCACATCCGCACCTTTCTTCTCACAATTCCAATTTCTGAATT